AGACCCCAGATTGCCCCAGATCTCAGAAACACAGGTGTTCCAGCTCCTAAATCTGGAAGACCCTAAAGTCTTGACCCATCCTCTTAGTTATCCACGTAGCGTGCCTCGCGTATCTTGCAGACCCAGGTGTCCCAAATCCCAAATATTAGGGACCCCGGGACTTTGTCCTCAACATTTGGAGGACCCTCGACTCTTAAACCCCCCAGTTCTTGGGCTGGGGTGGAGGGGTCCCATCCCCTCCCCCAGATATCAGGTCTCAGGTGTTCTGTCACCCCTGGTACTGCCAGCCTGGGCCCTGGGCAGGGCTGGGAAAACCACCCCTGATTAAATACACCAGGCGATAAGCCTGGGGCAAGGGAGACGCTGGATGGAGCTCCAGGCCTGGCCACCCATCCCTGGCAATCTTGTGGCCTCCCCTGTCCCAGCTCTGCAGCCCCAGGCATGGGGTAGTCCTCCCTTCCCCCTCCTCCATCCCCAGGGCAAGAGGTCGCCAGACACCAGGGTCCCCCGGTGAGGGCTGAAGAGCTGCGGAGGACACCTGGTCCTTTAAGAACAGCTGGTATGGGGGGTGGGCAGGGGAGTCACCCCCAGCCTGGCTGGTGTGTATTCTAGATAGAGGTTGAGTTAACCATTAACAGAGCAGACAGCCTGACCTGTGTGGGTGTGAGGGGCTGGATCAGTCCCCCTTCCCCCCGTGCCAGGGTGGGGCCAGAGTGGAGGGGTTCTGGATTTATTGGGGGATCAGTGAGTAGGTGAAGAGGCTTCCAGAAAGGAGAAACGGACAGGGAGACCCAGGGAAAGGTGGGAGACAACAGAGGTAGAGGGAGCTATAAAGAGAGACCAGCTCACTGGAAGAAGACAGAGACCCAGAGAGGGACAAGAGAGCTCAGGAGACCCTCTGAGATGGGGGAGGTGGGGGAGACAGAGAGAGACAGACGTTCAGGAAAGAGAGCTAAGTAGAGAAATACCCAGATGGGTTCAGAGAGACTGAGATACACAGACGAGAGGCCAAGAATAGGGACCTGGAAGGAGAGCGAGAGAGGAGAGATGGAGATTCAGAGAGAGAGGAATTGAGAGTGGGAGAAAGAAGGAGAGGCTATGAAATCAGGGAAAGGTACAGGTTTGAACTAGAGAGTTAAGACATCTTCAGACTCAAGTTCTATGAGACAAAGGGAGAGAATGGAGGTCCGTGAAGAAGGGCAAGGCTGGGTCTGTCTTGATCACTTGGTCCCCACAACAAGGCCTGGCTCACTCCCACTCGTCCTCCAGGTCTCAGCTCAGCTGACACCTCCTCCAGGAAGCCCTCCTTGACCCCCAGGCTGCGTCAAGTGCCATTCCCAGGCTCTCACAGCCCCCGCACTCCCCTATCCCAGCCCTGCACATTCTGGATCATCATTGGGGAATGGACTGTCAGCCCCACGAGGGCAGCGCCAGGGCTGTCTCAGTCACTACTATGAACCCAGCATTACCTAGCACAGAGTTAGTTTAAAGGGTGGATAGATTAATGTGCTCCTTTCCTTTAAGAAATATTTATTCAGCATCCTCTGTGCGGCAAGCACTGTGGTAGGTGCTATGGATACAATATGCAGAATGCAGCCCCTCCTCTCGTGGAGCTGACATTCGGGTAGGAGATACAGACAGATCCATAAAATGTGACAGCCATGGAGCGGTAAGTCCTAAGAAGAAAAAGCAAATCAGGGGAAGGGAATAGAGACTGATGGAGGTTGCTGCTGTAAAGGAGGCAGAGAAGGGCTCGCTGAGGAGCGGACAGGAAACTAAAAGAAGCAAGGGAGCAAGCCAGGGGAAATTTGGGGGGGGGGGTAGCACATGCAAAGGCCCTGGGGCGGGAGCCTGCTTGGTTTGTTCCAGAAACAGCCAGGTGGCCAGTGCCACTGCGGCAAAGGGGAAGGGTATAAGAATGAGGTCAGAGTGGGGGCACCTGGCTGGCTCAGCTGGTAGAGCATGAGAGTCTTGATCTCGGGGTGGTGGGTTCATGCCCCACGTTGGGTGTAGAGATGACTTAAAAATAAAATTAAAAAAAAAAGAATGAGGTCAGAGGGATAGTAGGGCAACCTCGAGGGCCCCGTAGGCCATGATAAGGACTTTGGCTTCTATTTTAATGGGAACAGGTGGAGGGTTTCAAGCACTGGGTGAAGAGATGGAGGAAATGAGACAGAAGCGGCCACGAAATGAGCCGGGATGGACAGCATCTCACTGCTCTGTGTCTGGGGCTTCACAGATGGCCCCGCACACATGCCCAACAGCAGTGTGTGGTGTGTGCACAAGTGAATAAGCCCCAAGCCAACAGAGAAGAAGTCAGAATGACATTAGATGGATGGACAGACTCCCAGGGAGAAGCCAGGTGAGGACCCGGGGACGCCCAGGGACAACAGACGCAGACAGACAGAGAGCAGCCGGCTGAGAAGTCCCGTTTCTTCCCCACCCGGAAAGCTTCCTTGGAGCTGGAAAAGTCCCCAGGCCCCCCTGCCCGCCTTGCCCGTGGCGTGCCCACTCACACCTCAGGCAGAGGAAGCTGGCAGGCCCCACAGGAACCTTTCTTGGGGGGGGGTGGAGGCGGGCGGGTGGCAGGGACGAAGGGAGAGGAGTGGCGGGCGGGCAGGCAGCGGGCAATGGCTACACAAAGGCCCCAGTGTCTGCCCCTCCTGCCCCCGGGTACAGATATAAATAATATGTACATATACCTTTATATATATATATATACATATATACCAGCAGGCTGGGGGCGGGAGGCCGGGGGCCACACGCTTCCCTAAGGGCCCGGGAATGGCAGAGGTCTGCTCCCGTGGGGGCTGGGGGGGCTCAGAGACACACCAGAGAGTGGCCAAGACTGACAGACACGGGCTGAGAGGGATGCAGGGACAGAAGGAGAGAGAGGGAGAAACGTACAAAGCACAAAAGAGCAACAGAAAGCCTGGCCGACAGAGACTCAGAGTCACAGACCTGAGTGGCTGACTCAAACGGGGACAGATCAGGAAGACAGGGAAATCACACTTCACTGAGCGAGAACAGAACAAGAGGGAGGTAGAGGGACAGCGACAGAATGCAGACAAGGGCCATTCCAGGGAAAGGCAAAGCCGCAGAGTAACTCAGGTGAGAGGAAGTAAGGACAGAGAGGAACAGAGAGAGGCCAGGAGCCACCCAGAAAGAGAGAGACAGAAGCAGACGGACAGACAGACAGGCAGGGCCGGGCCACGGCTGGGGGCTCAGGGAGGCTCGTGACCGTGGGTGAGGGGTGGGTCAGGGCACATCTCCGGTTTGGGGGCAGCACCTGTGGGGGCTCTGCTGCAGCCCAGTCCAGGGCAGGCCGAGGGGCAGGGAGCGGAGGGGAGGGAGGCGGCCCTTGGGTTCCGGATCTCGGTGTTTACCTGTGGCAGGCATTGCAAACAGGCGTCCAGCCTGGCCCACGGCAGGCGAGGGTGGGCTGGGCCGGGCCCTCGCCCTGGCACCAGTGGGCCCGACACGCCCACCTGTGGCCTGGGCGGTGAGTAACACACGCGGTGACACCTGGGTGGATGGTGACACATAGGGGAACAGACATGGTGACAAACAGGGACAGATATAGGCAGACCCAGAGTAAGAGAGACATAAACAGACCCACCGAACCTGGTGACAGAGACTCACTGGAACAGACCCAGTGACAGACACACCGTAATAGACATCAGGCTGCGAGGACAGGCCAACAGGGGGCGAGGCACGGAGATACAAGGACAAAACACCAACAGTGACGGGAGGACACACACACAGACACACTTGTAACCCCCGCCAGACTGCTGGCTTCTGGGGTGCTTTCCTCCTCCTGGGGCAGGTCGTGGCAGGGAATGGGGCTGACTCCGAGGGAGGCCTTGGGACCCCAGAGCCCCACGGTGCAGTCACCCCTCTCAGGCTCCACAACAACATGGTGGTTAAGGGCACTGACTCTGGGCCAGACTGCCTGGGTTCAAGTCCTAGCTCCTGCCGCCCACACACTCTCCGTGTGACCTTGGGCAAGTGGCCTCACCTCATCCTGCCTCAGTTTCACCACTAATAATTTGGGGGGGTGGGAAGGATTGGGTCAATCTGTTCTGTAAGATGCTCGCACACTGCGGGACCGATGATAAGCCCTAGTAGCTATTATTATGATTACTCTTTCCAGCATTATTATCCCATGCCTTCTGATGTAATGGGACCTCTGCCCACAGCTGGGACCCTGCCCTGGCCCTCTGTTTCCCCACCCATGGGCCCCTCCCTTGGACCATGTCACCTCAGGCCCGCAGGCTCTGTCCAACTTCACCTGTCCCAGCCCCGGCTTCCTTTTGTCCCCATGGCTATCCCTCCATCCCCCGATCCCTGGCATCCTCATGTCTGTCCACGCGTCCCACGTCTGACCGTGGTACTTTTCCACGCTGGACATCAGCCGGCTGTCCCTGGGGTGGGGGTCACACCTGCCCACGCCAGCCGAGCCGGTGGCCACCAGACACCCTGACGGATAGCCCCACCCTCCCCCCAGGACCCTACAACAACACCCGCCCCTCCGGCCACCTGAGGTCCCTACTGGGGCGGCCTGAGGCCCAAGCCTGGGGACAGGAAGCCCCAGGCCTGGCCGCCCTGAAAGCCTCTTTCAGCCTGGGCCTCCTCCCGCCACCACCGACTCCTCCTGCGGAATAATATTTGGGCTGTTGGCCGGGGGGCGGGGGCCAGATCCGGAGGCCGCCTGGGAGAAGCCAGAAACCGCAGGGCTTCCTGCCTCGGGCCGGCCGACTCCGGGAGAGACCCCCAGGCCCGAGGGAGGGGGGCAGGCGCCCGGGGAGACTGAGGGCCTTTCTCTCGGCCCCAGTTGTTTTTTCCAGGAACCAGGAGGAATTCCCCGGCCTGCCCAGGACAGCGAGGCCGGTGGGACGGCTGACGGGGAGCCAGCACGGCAGGGGGCGGGGGGTGACACGCAGCCGGCAGGGCGGGCACCGCGACAGAAATAGAGGGCCTGGCCGGCGAGGTGGCAGGTAGAGGCAGAAACTCAGGGAGCTGAAGACCAGAGAAGGAGGAGTGAGGCCAGAGATCCAAAGCTGTTGGGGGGGGCAGGGAGGAAGACCCCAGAAAGGAGTCACAGTCCCCAAGAGGAGGACAGAGACATCCAGAGCCCAGAGAGAGGGAAGGAGGGACAGAGTCAAAGCAACAGAGTGAAAGAGAGAGAAAGCACAAGGCGGACGGCATAAGAGATAGACTACAGAGGATGAGCAAAGGTTTTCAAAAAAGCCAGGAGACAAAGACCCAGAGAGAGAGCTAAGGACAGAGTGCCACAGAGAGATGACACTAAAGAGACAGAAAGATGGACACACAGAAACTGGGGTAGACAACTCACACACACACACACGCACACGCACACACGTAAACAGGCAGCCCTTGGTCTGATGAACAAATGAATGAGCCTCTGGAGAACCAAGGACCAAGAAAGGCAAACCCCAAATAAGGAAAAGACAAAATAAGACCAAACCCGTCCACCTGCCCTCACCTGGCCAAATGACCCTGGCCCAGTCCCTTTCCCTCCTGAGCCTCAGCTTCTGCTCACTGTCTCCCCCCCCACCGCCCACCCCAAAAGCCATGCGCTCAGAACATCTGAGCACCTGACTCCAGACTCAGAGCCTAGGGAGAGCCCCGGAGGAACAGAGACACTCAGACAGTAACCCCAGAGGCCCAAAGCCGCCCAAGGAGGACCGAACTCCTTCCCCACACACCTGCCTGCAGAAGTGACAACCAACCCTCCACGCAACGGTGACAGGCATTGTCAAGCGCAGGCAGACTCTTTGAAACATTTGAAACATATGGGCGGATGCTGACTCACAGAACAGCGACAGGCAGGCCTTCGATGCGGATTGAGCCCCACACAGACTCCTTGAGGCGATGGGTATGCAGACAAATGGACACAGAGACCTGCGCCTAATAGTGGGAGACCCACAAGGACCCACGGGTAGGCGGACAAAGAGAACCACACACACTAAACAATAAGAGATCCCAGGACCCACAGGTAGCACTCAGAGTGTGAACAGACATGCAGACCCACACAATGGAGGGATACAAACCGGAGGGAATAAGGGGCAGGCCACAGAGACCCCAGTGGGCACAGTGATATCCTATGACCAATGGAGGCCTACCCCCCCAACACACACACACACACACACACCCCATCTCCTTCAATTAACACCTGGTTTGTGCCTTCCCCTCCTCCCCAGCTTAACCAAAAGTTGAGCAGTCCCTGGCTCCTTGGGCCTCAGAGTTAGAGGTGTGTGTCTGGGGAGTGGGGGTGGGGAGATGGCCTTGGTCACTGCAGAGTCTCCTCTCCCAGCCGCCCTGGCCCCACTGCTGCAGGGGCTGCTATCTGTGAGCAAACTGTCCTTGGGGTCAGGGACAGCGAAGAGCCAAAGGTCAGGTCGATGCCTCCCCCAACCCCTCCCCCAGAGGCAGCTAGCTCTTGGGGTCAGGCGGGAGAGGGGACAGGGACACTGCAATTCAGGTGTTCAAGCCCCGCAGGGCCCACCCTCCAAGGAAAAGAGACGTTCAGGGAGAGGCAAAAACAGTGCCTTTAATGGTCAAACACAGCCAGTATCCCGCTTCCCAGGCAAGAACCAGACTTCAGTAGAAATTCCCCATACCCTAGCCAGTCCTTTCTGGTTTCTCCTGGACCAGAGAGGGGAATGGGCTCCAGAAAAAAACAAGGAGTATTCACACTTCCATCCCTCACTCAACTCACACCAAAGAGACGGGGATGACAATGGCCAACCCAGGGGCTATGGTAGCTATCACAGTGGACAACGGTACACCGGTTATGTCAGCCCACCAAGATGGTGTTCATCATAGCACCCAACGTGCCCAAGAAAGAGATGTTGTGCAGGATGGTGGCCAACTCGGCATCTACCATGCCAAGAAGCCCCCCAAAAAAGAAGTGAGCACAGCACCCAACGGGCCAAAGAAGATGTCATTGGAATGGTATTACCATCACATCCAAAGGATTAGTCAAGAGGATGTCCATCACCATGTCCAAAGGGCCAACTAAGATGTCATCCCGGGTGGTGGCCATCAGAGCACCCAAGAGATGGACGAATAACATCAATGGACATGGCAGTCTTTGTAGTACCCAGTGGGCCCGCCAAGATGTCAACAGCAGTTATCACAGTACCCAAAGGATTGGCCCGAGCCTCCAGAGACAGCAGTCACCGCAGTAATAGACCAACCAAGATGGTAACTGACGGGACGAGCCAAGTGTCACCAGGAGGATCAGGCCCCAAGCGCCTGATGGTGTGAGCTACAGTCATACCCCGCCCACCGCACTCCCACACCCCTGCTAGGACGCGTTAAGCAGAGAGCGGGAATAGACACCCTGGTAGTAGACCCCAGGCTCCCCCACCTCTGCCCCATAGCCCCCAAACCCCACGTCCAGTTTAGGAGGTGCTGGTGTCTGTTCCGACATCAGGTTGTTGATGGAGAAAGGGTGGTTGAAGTTGTAGGGGGCATCCAGCTTCAGCTCCCCGGGGAGCTCCAGGCCAGTGAAATAGGGCGTGGAGGAAGGGGGTGAGCCACAGTCCAGAGCCCCCACGTCTTCCCCGCCCTGGGCCTCCGGCTCAGGGGGTGGAGGCTGGGGCTGTGGGGGAGAGGTGATCGTGGCGGCAGGGGCGGCGGCCGAGGCAGCCGCCCCTGCACTGTTCCTGGAGGTGGAGGTCCCGCCAGCCCCTTTCTTCACCTTCTCCTCTAGCTTGAAGCGCTTCTGGCGGCGCAGGTAACAGCCGTTCTCAAACATGTTCCCTGAGCTGGGGTGCAGGGCCCAGTAGGAGCCCTTGCCCGGCTTGTCTGGGGAGCGCGCCACCTTGACAAAGCAGTCGTTGAAAGACAGTGAGTGGCGGATGGAGTTCTGCCAGCGTTGCTGGTTCTCCCGGTAGTAGGGGAAGAGGTCCATGATCCACTGGTAGATCTCGCTCAGGGTCAGCATCTTGCCCGGCGCCTGCTGGATGGCCATGGTGATGAGCGAGATGTAGGAATATGGCGGCTTGGCATGGGCCAGTGGCCGCCGGTACCCTTTCGGCATCTCCTTCCCGTGCACCAGCCCCGGGCCCGGGCCCCCATACCCTGAGCCGCTGCCTCCGCCACCACTGGCACCCAGGCCTGGGAAGGTGGGCCCCAGGGGTGCTGCGGGGGCTGGGGGCGCCAGGGGTCCTGAGGGCAGCGGAGAGGCAGGGAGCCCCCCAGGGGGGTAGGGAGCACTCAGAGGGTTCAGGCTCATGTAGGAGTTGAGGGGGGCCATGGTGGGCACTGGGGTCACCGGCGAGTAGACCTGCAAGGAGAGAAAGAGAGATGGGGGGAGGGCAGTGAGTTGCCACTCTCCTGGTCGGCAAAGGGTCACTGGCCCCCACTATGTGTCCATCTGTCTGTCTGTCTTGCCTCTTCTACAAGTCCCTCCCATCCTTACCTCTGTCTGCAGATGGCTGTCTCTGGAAGTCTCTCTCTCTTCCCCATCCTCATGCGCCCCATCCCTGACCTCATCCTCCATCCCCCAAGGGATCCCTATACTGGAGCTCATGCTTTAAGTGGTTCTCAAAGTGTGGTCCAGGACACCCTGGGGAGTCTCCAAGACCCTTTCAGGATGTCCAGGAGGTCAAAACTATTTGCATATAATACTAAGAAATTACTAGCCTTTTTCACTCTCTGTCTCTCTCAGGAGTTACAGTGGAGTTTTCCAGAGGCCACCGGACATGTGACATTGCAACAGACCAAATGTAGAAGCAGCCACAAGCAGCTGTCTCCTATTGAACCAGACACTGAAGAGATTTGCCAAAAATATAACAGTGCCACTCCTCTCACTAAATGTTTTGAAATATAGTTATTTTATTTTATTTTTATTTTTATTTTTAAAGATTTTATTTATTTATTTGACAGAGAGGGACAAGCGAGAGAGGGAACACAAGCAGGGGGAGTGGGAGAGGGAGAAGCAGGCTTCCCGCTGAGCAGGGAGCCCGATGTGGGGCTTGATCCCAGGACCCTGAGGTCATGACCTGAGCCAAAGGCAGGCACTTAATGACTGAGCCACCCAGGCGCCCCTATTTTTATTTTTTTAAGTAGGCTCCACGCCCAGCGTGGGGCTTGAACTCATGACCCTGAGATCAAGAGTTGCACGCTCTACCGACTGAGCCAGCCAGGTGCCCCGAAATATAGTTATTAATAAAAACACAGTATTTATGCTAAAAAATTGTTGGTTTAAAATTAATTAATCCAAAAATAAAATAAAATAAATTAATTCAGGGGTGCCTGGGTGGCTCAGTCAGTTAAGCGTCTGCCTTCGGCTCAGGTCATGATCCCAGGGTCCTGGGATTGAGCCCCTGCGTCGGGCTCCCTTCTCAGTGGGGAGTCTGCTTCTCCCTCTCCCTCTGCCCCCCACCCCGCTCATCCTCTCACTCGCTCTGTCTCTGTCTCAAATAAGTAAAATCTTACAATTAATTAATCCATATTATAAAAATTTCTCAGTTTTAATTTCTAATACAGTAACTCTTCTTTTTTTAATGCAGTAACTATTGATAGACATAATTTACACGAATGAAACCTGTTTGGGGTCCTCAATAATTTTTAAGCATGTAAAGAGGTCCTGAAACCGAAAAAATCGAGAACTCCTGACTTATCTCCATCCCATCTATAAATATGGGTACTCTCTATCACTCTTTTGGGTTATAGAATTACAGTTGTTAGAGGCCAAAAATGTTTCAGGATTGCGGAGGGGTGGGGGAGGGGCACCTGGCTGGCTCAGTCGTTTTTTTTTTTATTTATTTACTTGTGAGAGAGAATGACAGACAGAGAGCACGAGAGGGAGGAGGGTCAGAGGGAGAAGCAGACTCCCTGCCGAGCAGGGAGCCCGATGCGGGACTCGATCCCGGGACTCCAGGATCATGACCTGAGCCGAAGGCAGTCGCTTAACCGACTGAGCCACCCAGGCGCCCTGGCTGGCTCAGTCGTAAGAGCACGCAAGTGTTGATCTCGGGGTTGTGAGTTCGAGTCCCACGTTGGGTGTAAAGATTACTTAAATAAATACAACTTAAAAAAATTGTTTAAATGTTTCAGTATCAGAAATCACGTTTCAACCTAATCTATATTGCCTCTTTACCATATATCATTAAATCTAAGACATCGCTATTTGTAAGCTGCCGTGTTATTTTAAGTACCAATAAGAATAATACCAATAAGGGGGAAAAAAACACTGTCAGTCCCTAGACACCATTGACTATAAAACCCATCCCATTTTCAGAAATGTTCAAATGAAAAACATGCATCTCAGCTCAATGAAAAACAGTAGACATCACTAGGTCTCTCTAAATAACCCTCTATTCTTCCATCCATTAAACAAATATCTATCTGGCCACCTACTTTGTGCCAGGCACTGCTCCAAGCACTTCACAGGAAAGGTCTCTGTTCAACTTTTACAACCGCGCTACGATAACACCCATTGTATAGCTGAGCAAGCTGAGGCCCAGAGGGGTTGTCCAGGGTCAGACAGTAAGGAAGGGGCAGAGCTGGGGTTCTGAATTCAGGCAGTCCGGCTCCAGACCAGTGCTCTGGATCACGCTACAAAAGCAAGTGACCAAGACAAGCAGAAACGCCTGCCTTCACAGACCTGACAGTCTAGCAGGAAAGGAACCAGATAAACATGGAAAACAGAAAATATGGTGGGTGGTGATTTCTCCCTCGCTGTGTGTATTTACCCCTTCCATCCACTGTCCACCATCCTCTCTCCCTCAGTCCGCTAATGGCCCCCTGTCCACCCTGCTCCCTCCCCACGCGGGGGTCTCGTGGCCCTGGGGGTGCTGCTATCTTTCCAGCAGGAGCCGCCTTTGCTGTGAGTCAGTGGGTCCTGTCTTGTCCCCTGTCACTGTAAGGGTCTGCAGGTCCTAAGGTCCTGAGAGAGAAGGGAATGGCCGGGGTCACTCAGAGAGCCGGGGACAGGTGACAACCAACTCTAGTCTGAGTCCAGGCAGAGAAATTCTCTTCTCTCTCAGACACTTCCAGGCAGTTCTTTTGTCTCTGGTCTCTGAGTCTCCCAGCTGGCTCCATGTGTATCTGTCCATCTCTCCCCCCCCCCAACTCAGTACCTCCCTGCTCTTGCCCTCTCCCCCTCCCCTCTACTCCCCAGTCTCCATCCAAGCTTCCTCTCCTCCAGCCCTGTCTCTCCCCATCTCTTTCTCGCCCCTCTGTCTTCACCTCCTTCTCCTGTCTCTCTCTCATCTCTCCCCAACCCCCCTGCCTGTCCCTCCTCGTGACTCTCTCCAACCCTATCCCTCTCCCCCCACCCTATCTCTCCCTGTCTCTCTCTGCCCCCCTCTCCTGCCATGTCTCTTTCCCTCCAGCACATCTCTGGACCTCTCTTGTCTCTTCACCTCAGCATCACCATCCCCCCAGAAGCCTCCCATTGAAACTGGAATCACAGCTACCCCTCCTCCACGCACTGGTGTCCCCACCACCACCTTGGCTGATTCTGCCCTCTCCTCAGGATAAGGGAAGCGGGTCCTTCAGAGCTGAGGGGAGGCAATGGACTCAGGGGCATCCACAGAGAGTTCCTAAATCCCTCTGTGACCCTCACTCCAATTCTCCAATTCCATGAGCGTCCTCTGTATCACAGAGGAAGAATGACTGGGACCCCAGAGCCCTCCTTTTCTGGGTCCCCACCCACCCGGAAGTCCTCCTTGAGGTCTGACCTCAAGCACTCCAGCTGCCCTAATCCACCCTTGGCTTTCCCACGCCCCAGGGCTGGGATGAACCCCCAGTGTCCGGGTGTGAGCCGGATCTCCCCTGCCAGGGCGGGGCTGAGATTGGGGGGAAGCCCTCAGGGGACCTGCACCCCCATCCCAGGAGGCTGGAATTTCTCTCCTTTCATTTCCTTATTGTCTCTGGGGGAGGGTGTGACAAGGAGCAGAGGAAGGCCGCGTGAAGCCAGAAGCCTGGTTTCTAGTCCCAGTCCCAGTCCAGATCCTCCAGCAGCCCCCAACACTTGGAGAGGCTTCAGAGTTCCCATCTCTAAAAGGGGGGAGCACTTGGACCAGCTGATCTGTGAGAACTGGAGGCCAGTCGGGACACCCCAGGGTGCTAACTTTCCAATTTCCTTCCTGACAGGGAGCCTGACCGGGGGTGTCAATCACCCCAGCAGGAGGGTGCTGTGAGCAAGAAGCAGTTTGGGGACCCTCTTAGTTCTTAGTTGCTGAGTGAGTGCAGATGTTTCTCTCCCTCTTGTTCTGACCCAGGGGGAGGAGGTGGCTCAGCGGATGGGAAGGCTGGGGACACCATATTTCCATTTCCGGCCCCCCATATGTTAACTCTTCCAAAATATGCTCTCAAATGTGAATCATTTCTAGACTGTCCCTCAATTTCTGACACAATTTCAATGTGCAAACGCAAATTCTTACACTTCAGACTGTGCCCCAATAGCGACTCCTCCATCCTTAGACCCACACAACTTACTTCTTAAAGATGTGCCCCCCACCCAAACATAGATCTGTAGTTGGGTCTTCTTCAATCATGTCCCCAGGCTCTGAACTCTCTAGGGGTTCAGCAACCCACCCTCCTCCCCCCACCACTACCTGGGAGCCTCCACTTCCAACCTGGTCTCTCTCTGCCTTCCCCACCGTACAAATTCACCTTCAGCTCTCAGCCCTCCCAATCCCTTCCCTGGTCGGCCTGCCCCACCCCACGTGCACCTCACACCTCCATAGTCCCAGGACTGGCCCCTCCTGGGCACTTTGCCAATCCCCGCAGGCCTGGGAAACCAGGAGTCCCACCCCGAGGTTCAAACCCCAGACCCAGGACTCAGGCACGGTGGGGCCCCTTGTAAGCCCCCAGATCTCTAAATCCTTGGGGATCTCAAACATTCCAGTCCCCCTCTGACCTGAAGCCCAAAGTCTCCTTCCAGGTTAAGAAACCAAATGTCCGGACCCCCATAACCCTCCTACTAGGACCCCCTCCCCTGCCATTTCACAATCTTGACTATAGAAAGAACAAGCTAAGGAGGAGCCCTTGCAGCAATGGGAAGGGGAGTTAGACTTGGGGAAGGACTTTCCTTCTGCAGAGGTGAGGGAATTACGATACACCCTGCCCCCTACTCTAAGGGTGGCCTTGTCAGAGATGGGACAAGTGAGGACATTAGCAATTACTGGAGATTACTGGAAGGAGGGGTGTGTGTGAAATCTGAAACCCTCCAGCCTCCAACAAGCAGTATCCCTGCTGAGGGTCTCTAAAAACAATTAAACCACTGAAGTTCAGTCGGGAGGGGTAAGGATCATGAATAGAGATGGGGGTGGATATTGACCCCTCTCCTGACAATGCCGTTGCTCACATCTGATCTCAGGCTCCAACTCTGACCCCATCTGGGCCCCCATCTCTCTGAGCCCCAACTCTCACCCACCTGTTATTACAGGTTCCCAAACCATGTTTCATCTCTGAGCACCTCCATCTCTTAACTTTGAGCCCCAATCCCTATTTCTGACTCTTAGGTCGCCACCCCAAAGATGCTTATCCCCCAATCCCAATTCTGATTTCTACCCCAGAACCCCCATCTTTAACTATATTCTATCCCTGAGCTCCCACCTCAGACTTTCCTTAATGGTGACCTTTTTCTCCCATCTCTTAGCTCCGGTCTTTGGAACCCCATTTCCTAATCCCCCAGCTCTGTCCCCTATCCTGGAACTCGGGTTCCTATCTTTGTTTTTTGGTTTTGGTTTTTTCATTTTAATCCCTTGGATTTTGGGTCCCCAACACCCAGTCTTCACGTTTAAACTATGACCTGCCCCTTGCCTAAATTTTTCCGTTTGAGCCCTCGCTCCAACCAGCCTAAACCGCACTCCCACGCCTCGTCCCCCATCCCTGACTCCTACACCTGGTCTGCGTGTCTCTAGTTCCTCCGCTCCTCAACTGTAGTTGGGGCCCCCTTTTGATCCCACACCCCATCCTTGCCCCCCATTCACGCTCGCACCCTGATTCCTGCCCCCCACTTCCCGCTCCGCCATCCCCGTGGACACACCTCGCCCGCCTCCGGGTAGTAGCTCCACTCGGCCAGGTCATGGGCCTCCATCTTCACCGAGCCCAGCATCCCCCGGGCCTGCGCCCCCTCCCGCCCCCGCTCCGGCCCGGGGGGAACCGAGCGCTTCAGATCTCTCAGCCGGCACGGCCCGAGTTCCGACCGGTGCCCGCCCGTCCGACCGCCCGGGGTCCCAGCCGTCCTGGGCGCCGCGGGAGGCGGCCACGCTTTATAGCTGGGACACCCCCGCCCCCCGCCCTCTCCCGCCCCGGGCTCCCCTCCCGCCTCCCCGAGGGCGGCGCGCTCGGACTGGGGCGCCCCCTGCGGGATTGCGCGGAGACAGACCTCAGGCGCCGGGAGCCGCAGCCCGGGGCCACGAGAGCTGGAGGTGGCTGGAGAGAGGGAGCTACGGGTGGGAGACACTGCCGATGCTAAAGGCCCCAAGGGCAGAGTTCTGGGGCTCTTCTACGCCAGCGGGTTTCATCACCTCGACAGGAGAAGGCGAATAGCCAGAGCCCAGCATGACCGCGGCGGAGGAGAGGGGCCTCAGAGCGCAGTGGACTCCAGAGGTCAGTATATGCTACCATAAGGACCGTAAGAGACCCTCGAACCCCCATTCCCATTGGACGGACAGGAAGACTGAAGCTTCCGACAACTGGAAATGCTCCAGACTGCGTAAATGGTCAGGACCTAAGGTGGACGGGATCGGGGACTCTGCTTAGACTCCACTGGGGCAACAGACCACCTCCAGGACCTAGGAGCTTAGTCACCCGGACTCTCCACCCTCTCTAACACCAGCCGTCCAGGGACTCAGAACAACCGTGAACTCCATTTCCCAGAAGCCTCTACCTCCCTTTCCGTCCAGTGCCTCTGCTAAGGGACTACATTTCCCTTAAGGCATGGCGTTCAAAGGCCGGAAATGAAAGGCATCCCGGCGTCGTCGGGCGGAGGGCGGAAGGCCTCTCGCGCCGCAGGAGGTAGGGGCGGGGTCGGGCCGCCGTGTGGACTCCATTTCCCGGCGGCCCTGTGTGCGCGGCGCGTGCGCAGTGTCCCGGCGGCGAACGGAAGATGGCGGCGGCGGCGTCTGTGAAGAGGCGCTGCTGAGGGGGCGCGAGGGGGACGGAGGCCGGCGCCGCGGTGAGCGGGGGGCGGCGTGGGGGCCCGGGAACGAAGGGGGGAGGGACTCTGAAGCGGCAGGGGCGCTGGCCGGCGGGTTGGGGCGCTGCGAGGAAAGGGGAGCAGTGACGTTCGGGACCCCAGTTTCTTCCCCAGCTCAGGACCCTCCCGTGGCTTCCCAGTGCCCTCAGGGCAAAGTTCCAACGTGGCCCTCAAGGCGCGTCCGCCCCGCCGGCCCCGGCTCGGCCTCTCTGCTCGTTCCTCACTTCGCACAGTTGCACTAGCCTTCCGGTTCCTCAAACTCGCCATGCGCCTTTCCGCCTCAGGATTTTTGCACATGCCGTCCCCTTTGCCCGCAACATCCTTTTACCCATTCTGCCTGGCTAACTCCCATTCATCTTTCGGGTCTCGGCATCAACGTCACTTCCTCTGCGAAGGCCTCCTTTCCCGCCCTCCGTCCCGAAATCCGCCTGTTAAACGCTCTCATAGGTCCTTGTCCCTTTCCTTCATGTCACATGTGGTCTGATTTATCATTGGACCTTTATTTGTGCGGTTTTTCGATTAGGTCCTTGACCGTGAACCCCACGGGGACAAGAGTATGTGTTGGTCATCGCTGTGTTCCTAGCACAGCGCTGGTCGCACTGAAGACGCCTGGTTAATGTTCGTTGAATGAATGAAAGATACTCCTGGGGTTACTCCGTACATGAGGGGTGGCGTCATAGCCCCAAGTGGGAGTGGGGCAGTGGTACTCCATAAGGAGTACACGGGGAGGGAAGGGGAAACAGGGGTTGTTGGTAATAGCAAAAAGACTGCAAGCACCCCAGGTGTTCTTCAGTAGGGAGACTGGCAGAAAAAAAGCTGATAACATCCACATTATAAAATACTATGCAACTATTAAAGGGAGTGGGGGGTTGGGGGAAGGGAATGAAGAAAATGTCTCTACATTGATATAGAGAGTGGGCTCCAGGATATATTAAGTGAAAACAAACAAAAGAGAAGGCCATGCTAATTATATGCTCCCTTTTTACAAAAGAAAGGGAAATGTGTATAGACCTTGTTTTTTTGTTTTGTTTTGTTTTGTTTTTTAAGGATAAACCAAGAAGTAGAAGAGGAAGAACACAGGGTTAAAAGAAAAAAAAAAAAAAAAGCTAGATCTCAATCTATTATTGTCATGGAGAGAGTGGAAAAGTTGGAAAGGTTCATCAGGAAAAGGTTCATTATGTTCTGATAAGGGACTGGAGAATGCTGGTTGTCAGGTGACCGTGCCCCTTGGCTTGCTTGAACAGACCTGGGGTGGAGAAGGAATGGCTTTCAGAGAGGCAGGACTGCATGGTGGTGAGGAGGATAGATTCTGCAGTCATACTGCTGGGTCCGCATCTTAGAAGCTGTGAGCCTTCAGTCAAGTGACTTTACCTCCCTTGCCTTCAGATTTCCTCATCTGTAAAATGGAGATTAAAAATAGTACCTGCCTCCAAGAGTTGGTGTTGGGAGCTTTAAATAAGTTAACATGTGTGTTAGAATTGTGCCCGGCACATATGCTTAAATATTAGTTACTATTTTTCAAGCATTCTAGAGCCAAAGGGTGGGGATACTAAGTCTAGGGATTGGGGGAGCCCTTTGGCACTCACTCAGATATTTACGGAGCACTTACTAGGTGCCAAGCACTGTTCCACGCTGGAGATCTAAAAAGTGAACAGACGCACACAAATCCTGGCCTTCATGGAGCTTGTAAATTTGTAGTATGTTGATGGTAATAAAGGCTGTGTAGAAAAATAGAGTAACACAGATGGAGAGGGAGAAGGAATTGACACTTGAAATAGGGTAGTGACGGAAGAGCTGGAGCCCAGAGACCCTAGAGGAAAGTGAGGGCAGAGGTAGAAGGGGCCTTTCATACAAGGTGTTCTAGGCCTTGGTGAGGGTGATGGCATGGACACTAAGCAAGATGTGGCTGTGACAGGTGGCAGGAAGACCAGGAAGGAGGCTGTTGGATACTCATTCAGTCAGCAGACATCTGGTGAATAACTACTGTATTGCAGTATATTACATTCCTTTTAAAAGGTGCATCTTTTTTGCCCTCCTCAAATGGTTGTTAACAGTTTATGCAACATCCTTCAGATCTTTTCAGGGGAACATAAAAATAGTAGCTGTACTTATCTTATGTTTATTTTGTATACTAACTCATCTACTCCTCAGAATAGTCCTGGGAGGTAAACACTGTTGCCATCCCTGTTTTTTGTTTCGTTTTTTTTTTTTTTTAAGATTTATTTATTTGAGAGCGAGAGCATGAGAGGGGGAAGGGTCAGAGGGAGAAGTAGGCTCTCCACTGAGCAGGGAGCCCGATGTGGGACTCAATCCTGGGACTCTGGGATCATGACCTGAGCCAAAGGCAGACTCAGCCACTCAGGTGCCCCATCCCTCTTTTATAGAAAAGGAAACAGACCCAGTTCATTCTGTGTCTTCATACACAAATCTTACAAAAATGGATTGAATTGCTATTTTCTTTGATGCCATAGGCTGTTGCAGACAGCTTTTTATAATAAAACATTGAGACCTACCAGATTTTTTTTTTTTTTAATTTGAGAGAGAGAGAATGAGAGAGAGAGAGTACATGAGAAGGGGGAGGATTAGAGGGAGACGCAGGCTCCCCGCCGAGCAGGGAGCCCGACGCGGGACTCGATCCCGGGACTCCAGGATCATGACCTGAGCCGAAGGCAGTTGCTTAACCAACTGAGCCACCCAGGCGCCCCTGAGACCTACCAGATTTATTTTACTGTTTTCCCTCCTCTTCTGGTTTTTGGTTTATCTTTTCATTTTTTTAAATATATATGTGTATGTAGGTATATATATATATATACATATATATATATGTATATATATGTGTGTGTGTGTTTTGTAAAAAGGGAGCATGCAGCAAACATTGTCTTCCCCTTCGCATGTTTTCAGTGAATATATGTTGGAATCCACTGTTTATCAATGTATAGAGATTTTCATTTTCTCATCCCTCATTTTTTTTTTAAGATTTTATTTATTTATTTATTTGAGAGAGAGAGACAGAGGTAGCAACAGAGAGAGCGAGAGAGAGTATGAGCGGGGAGGAGCAGGAGAAGCAGGCTCCTGCTGAGCAAGGAACCCAATGTGGGACTCGATCCCAGGACCCTGGGATCATAACCTGAGCCAAAAGCAGACGTTTAACCCACTGAGCCACCCAGGCACCCCCATCCTTTTTACAGTTGCATAGTATTTTATTATGTGGATTTATCATGTTTTTTCAGCCAGTCTTCCTGTTTGAGAACACTTGGGTTGCTAATAGTCTTTTGCTGTTAGGAATAATGCTGTAGTTGATCCTTATTAAATAGTTTTGCCAAGTGTGACTCTGGGACAGATGCCCAAAAGTCTTCCCTTCCCCTCTCCCCTTTTTAAAAAAACAACTCCATAGTATTCCATTTATTTTAACTAGGCCTTTTCTGATGTGTTGAATACTTAGCATGTAGGACTCTGACTGGCGTTCCTCAGAGCTGTGTTGTAGAAAGCCTGCTGTCATGTCTGGTCCCGAGTACAGCCCAGATGGCAAGACGAGGCCCTGAAACCAGCAAGGTGTCTGCTGTGTGTTCATTTATTCAGTCATTCGGCAGATGTTTGTGGCCAGCCTGCTATGTGCAAAGTCCTGGAGGTGGGGCCTAGCACTCCACAAGGGACTGCCTCCGGCCTGGGAGACATTCGTCTCTCCCAGATTATAACCCCTATATACATGCATAGTCTGAGACAGAGCCTGGATGGGAGAGGGGCTTCAGAAGACCCAACAGGGGCAGGACAGAATGGAAAGGAGGGTCGCGCCCTTTGTGGACGCAAAGTAGGGTGAAGGTCCACCCTATCCACGGGGCCCCAGGGCTTGATGGGTCCTCTTTTCTTCCAGGAAGTACCGGACAGCAGCCATGGCAGGCAGCAGTGGGGATAGTGTCACTCGGCGGAGCGTGGCGTCACAGTTCTTCACACAAGAGGAGGGCCCGGGCATCGATGGCATGACCACCTCAGAGAGAGTGAGCCTGGAGAGAAGGGCATGGAATGGGGAGGCACAGCCCGTGTCTTTAGGGCAGTCCACCCCCGGGTGCAGAGCCCAGGGGTGCCAGAGGGGCTGGGCGGGTGAAGCTAGCGCCATCCCCTGCCTCTCCCCCTCCTTCCAGGTGGTGGATCTCCTGAACCAGGCAGCACTGATCACCAATGATTCAAAGATCACAGTACTCAAGCAGGTGAGGGTCTGGGGTGATGCTGGGCTGAGCAGCCCAAGGGGAGAGGCTGGGAACATGTGAAAAAGAAGACACTGGTATAACGCTAGTGTCCACCTTTAAGCATTTAGGATATGCT